CTCGGCCGCCACACGGAAAATCTTGCGAAGTTTATTAAAGCTCGACTCTCGACAGCCAAACGAAAGATTTCATTTGAATATATATACTATTAACCTATGCCGCTTAAGCCTCCTCCATTGAAAGAGCAGCCACCCGTCTCTCTTTACTTGCACTGCGGCTTCTTTCCTCTTCCCGACGGATCGCCGATGTAGTAACTCGGCCACTTAGCGATTTCATTGCGAGTGCGCTTAAATAAAACATCCCCCAGTAATGTCACGGTAGAGTTACTAAGAAGCCAGTTTCACCAACGTCGATTAACTGTAACCTTCGATTATAAACTCATTTTTCATCTCTTTCTAACTGTCCCCCTTAGAAAGAAACGAAGAGTGAGTTTAATCGAAGGTTACAGTTAATCGACGTTGCTGAAACCGGCCCTAAGAGATCTAGTGATGCTGGTATTGTTGCGGAACGAAAAAATATTTTATTCTTGAGATTAAAATTAGAAAATGTCGTTTGTCATTCTTTGAACCTAATCATTACAATTTGATCTTTATAAGGTACGCTCGGCAAGCACATAGAAGTTCTTATCTATTAAATTTTATAGAATTATGCTGATAGTACCTGAAAACATTTGTTATAATGTTTATTACAGTCTCACAAAATTTTTAATTTTTGTGTCAAGATTTTGATTTTCAAAGATTCTATAAAGATTGTCAAAGACGGTCACCTGAACGAATTAAATGTTTATCTAGAACTTTCGTACGGAATCTATAAATAATAATGAAGAAAAAAACTAATTCTATGAATATTATTTCAATTAATTGTTTTACATGTAACCTAATTTTTTCAAAAAGAATATGATAATAATTTATTTCGTTAAATTAAGATTTGCGCAAGTTTCAAGTGAAAGATATATTAGTTATGGTGCTTTCTTGCTTGCTATGTGCGCTTACGGCTCGCAAACCTTTATCCTACATCAAGGCCCGTAAGGGTGAGCGATGGGTATCTAACCACTGTAATATTAACGTAAGACAGGGATTGCTGCCACGCCTCGTTAACGCCAGCCTTACCCTTAGGCACGTCGCTGCCATGCAGCGATGACGAAGACGCAGCAGCGACGTGAAGAACGGTGTACGCGATTTAATTAAAATAATATAATAAAGCGAAGATGTTCTCTCGCGATAATTTATCACGTAGCAAATATTTTTACGTCGTAGAAGCGGGGGAGGGAAACCGGTAACCGGCTACTTATAAAAAGAAGAGTGATCTTACGTTTTATAAGATCACTCTTAGTTAAGTCTTAAGCTCGGGATAATTGCGGCGCGCTCCGACGTGCAACCTCGTTTTCACCTCGTAGATCTTTCATTACAAGAAGGCGCGTTAGCTAGGCGTAAAAAGTTACGTTCCTAGGTACGAAGTCCTAAGGTTTACGTGTAAACGTATATATTTAATCAGGTAATTTGCATTTCATCTTCAAGTATACATGACTCCGTAGATTTTTCGAACTCCGAGAAACGCGTACTCCGATACGCCGACTTTCCCTGCTTTTCCACAATCGCGTAAACGGTCTGAGAGCGCAGCAAGCGCAAAAATTGTTTGATGTGGGAAGTACGTTTGCCCGGTCGTTATACAATGCGCTAAGTTGCCTGCCGCTAAGTGAATTTGTTGCAAAGACGAGATCTCGCTCGGAGCACAAAGCAAGTCTCAAGGTAACGGAATTACACTCGAAATTGGCGATGCATTACGCTCGAAAGGGCTATATAAGATGTGTATCGAATTTCCAGCGGAACTCCACGACTGTTGGCGCGTTGATCTTTATAGAATTATTACAGAGTCTATTTTCTGCCGCGGAGAGTGAAGAAACTTCCTCGAGGCAACAGCTGTAGCCGAGTAAGAACATTCGACACTGACTGAAAGTTCTAAAAAGCCGCTGTATCGAGAAATTAACGCGAAATCGATCGTAACGACCGTTGCATGAAGAGGCTCTTGAGCAACGATGCGACCCCAGCGCGGGATCGATTTATCTATCGTCCCGCGGAGAATGCTTCGGTGCGGAACGGCGCGGAATATGTTTCGCGCTTTTTACAGCCGCGGATGTGCCAGGAACTCGGGAACGACAACCGCCGGAGGATCTCCGCGACGTTCCCGGCGGTTGGTGCAGAATATGCGGCTGCGGATCCAAACTCGAATATCGAGAGCACGGTTCGACGAAGATAAACGCGCGGGCCAAATGACGAAGACCGAGAAACCTCCGGCGACGGAGGTGGCGAGCAGAAGCGAGCAGGACGTGAGAGAGAAAGAGGGGGGGAGGAAGAGTTAGTGGACAAAACAGGGGGGAGGTGAGGGTGGTGGACGAAAGTTTGCGGAAGGACGAGGGTGTTGCGTGTTCGCCGGGGGTGCGAGAGGGACACGACCGGGGTAAGGACGAGGGGTGGGTGAGCAATCGCGTGCAGGTGCATATAGGAGAGAGGATCCGCGTACGGGCGGATGAGTTGTGCGTACCAATCGGCGGGTGCAGAGTACGTCCGCAGGCACGCAGGAGGAGGCGAAAACCGGGCACAGCCCCAGGAGCGCGCGGCGGGGACTTCCGCCATACGGGGCAAAACCGCCCCACGCCGGACCCGGGAACCGGCGCGCGTCTGGTTGCGCTGGGTGGCGGGTGCACTATCGGGTGGCGCGCGAAAAGGGGATTCAACCCGACTCGGGTGCACCGAGAGGACGACGAGGAGCGAGAGAGATAGATAGGGAGGGAGAGAGGGAGGTTCGCGAGGGAGAGACGAGGCGGAGGACACGTCGGTCAGGGGTGATGAGGAGGACGGAGGGACGAACGAAGGTGGTGTGGGAGGGAAGGTTGGAGAGAGCGACCGGGGGTAGCGGCGCTGGTTCTCTCGGGTGGTGCCGGTAGTGGAGGGTAAACGGAGGGAAGGCGGCGGTGGCGGCGGTGGCGGCGGCGGCGGCGGCGACGGCGGTGAACATAAAATCCCTCGCACATGCCTGGTGCATTCATTAGGGGGGATGTACCCGTGCAGCGTACACGTCGACCTGCATCCACGCCACCCTCTCTCGCGTTCACTCGGTGCCACCCTTGGCCTCAGTCGCGCTCCGCGGCCAACTTAGTGCACACGCCACTCCGTTGGTCCTCCTTGACGGACTCGCTTGCCGCTGCTTCTCACTGCGCCGTAACCGTCCCCGTCGTCGCCGACGAAGGATTGCATCGTCTCTCGCGCGCGCGCCAGTCACCCTCTGTCATCCGCGACACGTCGGACGAGTTCCGCTGTGATCCGCGCGTAAACGTGCGTCACGCACCGTTTCTGAATCTCAATCTCGCTGATCGTGGATCGTGGATCGTGCGCGCGAAACGGCAGACGATGGACGAAGTAAGCTGAAAGAATTCCGCGTGCGTATCGAGAGTACGAATACGAGTGCGAGTTTTGTCTGCAATCCCGAGTGCGCGAAAGTAAACACATCCGAGAAGACTTTCCGGCACGGCCGAAACGGAGGTCCGGCAGCGGTCCGGCTTCTGGAGGCTTCACCAGCAGAAGAGGGACCTTCCTCGTCATCCCCGCGGAAGATCGTCCCCGCGGAAGATCGTCCACCTGTCTTTGAGCAGTCTGCGCCCGAAGAGGATCACGTACGACGACGGCACGGCTCTACGCGCCGCCGAAGACCGCGGGAAGCCGACGGGATTTCATGTTCACGAATTTCAGTAAACCAGGTAACGACGCGCCCGAGACCAGTCGGCGATGTCGAGCTGCACGGGATCGGCGGCGTGTCGGAATCGCGATTTACCCCTCGCCGCGCCCGCGCCGTGGCGGGACGCGCCGCGCCGTGCCGCGCTACGCTCTCGCGTCGCTATTTACCGCGACGCCGACGGATCGGGAAAGGGCGGGAACGCCGCAACTTCGCGCGGGGGATTCTATCGATCGCGCGATCGACGGCACGCGCATTTCCGCCGTCCGACTTTTTCCGCGGCGGCAGAGGGTGGGCGGGAAAGCGGACGGAGGGACGACGAAGGTACCATCCTGCGTCACGACGTCGTCGCGTCACATCACCCGGCTTCGCTCGAAATTGCTCGCCACGAAGCGTCGTCGCTCGCAGCTCGTTTTTCCTTTCGCTAGCGCGCTATATTCGAGGCTGAGAGACGCTGCGAATAAATTTGCATTGACGGGAAGCGGTACGCGTGTACCGAACACATTTTTCGGACGGCGCTCGATCGCGCCACCAATTAAGCGGAATCGAGCGCGCGAAAAGTTCAGAAAGTGAGTAGAAAATTCGGCAAGGCATGATCGCCGTTGAGAAAAGGAAATCGTGTCGGGAAAACAAAATGACGCAAATCCTTCATAATCACGGGGTATCTTTAAATCCATAGCTGAACGATCGCTGAATATTAATATCGTAACTGCCCTCGATAACGTGTTCCATCGGCATGCAATTATCGCCCCGAATATAAATCGAATGAGGTATTAGCGGACTTATTAACGGGAAAAATCCGGGATAACGTATGCGGATTTCGCGTTTACTCGGTAAATCGCGGAAGCTGCTTGGATGCAGGTGCAAGGATGCAGTTGTTTGCGGTGGTACGGCACGGCCGGATTCGAATTTCCATATTTTCGCGATTCATTCGCGCGAGTATTATTACTGGCCCGCAATAAAAGGTACATGGGTATTCCCGATGAAATATGTCGCACTTTCGAGAAACGTGCCTCGCGAAACGGTCTTATCTCGCGCTTCCGCCTTCTCGGTCCGAGTGGAAGCGATTGATAAAGTAGAATTTTAGCGATAGGGCACAACCGCTGAAAAATTTAATATTTTAAACATAAATTTTATTTTCGCATCTACACATCACGGTGACCGGTTGTTTTCCCCAATGAAATACGTCGCGTCTTCGAGAGATGTGTCTTAGGAATATCTCATTTCGTCATTCCTGATTTAAGGAAAGACAAAATTAATCAAATGATTTATGTAATAACGAAATGGAAAAATATCTAAAAGTATAAGAAAAAATATTGCCAGAGACATGTGCATTTTCTATAAAAATATTCGAACTTATTATGTATACATTAAAACATATTAATTTAACTGTAGAAAATTGACACTTCAACGTCCAAACTTCGAGACTGTCAACTAGTAAAACAGATGAAATGTCAGTTGAGCCTTTTCTTGATGCAAATTTCACCGCGTCATAGGTGCTCTTGTTTGAGCAACGATAATTAGCGTCGGAAAGTACAATATTTGACGATTGGTATGCTGGAGATACCGCTATCGATTCCTCGCGATTAATTTCTGCACGGATGTGCCCTCGCGCAGAGATAGCCGCGCGTTAATTACGGATGCGGCGGGCCGTTGCAAATGCTAACCGGCTAATTTCGGTTTCGTATTTCAGCATTAGCCGCATTTTTCCCACGCGTCGCGAACGACTATATATATACGCGGCCCGTTACTCGTACAGACACGGACACATACACGTGTGGCGTAGAACCGGCACGATTCTACGTCGAGCTTAATTTTTAATCTGCCGCGCGTAACGTCGTCGAGAAATAATCCGCCACTTATTATGCAAATTTAATCGTGCGTTTATCGCGAGGCGCGCTAATCGCAGATAACTTTTCCGCTCAACTTCACCGTTGCGGCGCGTCCGTTCCTTTTTATTTCCGGCGGGACAAAGAGCGTCCCGGGCCGCTTTGTTTTCCCGGATACGTCCGCGTTTAATCCTCTCTGCGATCTTCCTCGACGCGACCATTATGCCGTCGCAAGTCGTAGTCGTCGTGGTCGTGGTTGCGCGCAGTTTCTAAGTTCGGGCGCCGATTCAAGTCGTAGCAGTTCGCTGCCAAACAAACGCATCCATTCGATCACCGGGGAAGGAGGGGTGGGTGAGAGTAAACGCTCGGTCTTCCACGATCTCTCTTTTTGACACGCGGCAAGAAACAGAATCGGACGTGCGAGGGGGATTTTCCGCGCGAAAGAACGAATGGTAAAAGGGAAAAGATGAAGAAATTCTCCTAATATCGGTGAGAGTCTTCTTCCCGCGAGCTATCTAAGGACGTCGAGAGAAAATCAGTCTGAGATTCCGAGTCGTTTCGAGAAGCCGGGGATAGCTCGCGGGAACGAGTCGAGTAACTCTTCGTGATGGTTCCTCTCTTCGGGAGAGACGGGTGAGAGACTCCCGCGTGAGTTTAGTTTCCCCAAAGTTTTCCGACTCCCATCATCTTCTCGAGGGCAGTTACTCGGGACGTTTCAAAGTGTTTCTATTATTCGGGGCGTCACTCGGTCTCTCGAGCCATTCGGGGGAAAGATATTTTGCAGCGGGCTCTCGAGCAAGGTACGTCTCGCTGCGAGGCATATTTTGGTGCGAGCGAGCGCGCGACATCGTGATAAATCCCGCGACGTATACAAATAGTTCGACGTACGTCGGTGACGTTCGCTTTCGTGGAGAGAAACATCGGAGGGTTTGTTTGAAGATCCCCCGTGCTCAAAACGCGCGCTCCCGCCCTTCGCTCCGCAACTTCGACCGTACTTCGACAGCATTGTGGTCGGGAAAATGCATGCCCGAGTGCAGCGGCGCGTCCTTTATCGGCACGGGCGTCCTACATAGAGAGCTTTTTCCGAGCGTTTCCACGTTATCGCTCGTTGTTTGCGTCACGGACTCGAACTTCCAATTCCTAATCGATTCGCGTCATCGAGCGGGAACCTCGGAGGGAGAAGGAGAGAGACGCTGGCGTCCCTTTAGCATTTCGCATTTAAAAGATATGGAGAAAGCGAAAAAAAAATCGAGTAGCTTCTATTTTTCTACGTTTACCGCTTGCGGAGCGGTGAAATCTATTTTGTCACACCTCGCGAACTGTACTTTGCTCAAGAAGAAACTGAATGGCTCAATAATCAAATATAAAAAAACGAAAACGCGTGGATCCGCATAATGGATCGAGATCGAGAAGGCGCGCGCGTGGTGGCGGAAATCTGCGCGCCAAGTTCTACCCGCCGAAGATCAACTAAGGGTACACGTCCGGAAGATAAGCGCGCCGATGCGCCGCAAACCCTGCGCCGGAAACGGGTTTTCCCGGCGCACGGCTCGCTGCGGCTACGGCACATCGATCGTCGATGCATTTCGGCGGCTCGGATACCGTTTCCGGCGTCAAAGAGCCAAGGTCGGCCCCCGCTTAATCGCGGGATGGATGATCGCGGCGATGCCCGTCGACGTCACGCCGGCACACAGGACACCCGCAGGTCTGTTTCCCAAGAGACAACAGAAAGTATTTGATCTTGTCTTACGAGGAGAGAAGTAATTTTGCGACCAAGATATATTAACCAGACCATTTTAGATAAATTAGATATATTAAAGGATATATATTAGATACGTGCACAGAAAAAAAGAAGTGTCAAATCAATAATAAGTACCTATATATACTCGTATATATGCAACAATTTATAATTTTCTTATTAATAATTTTGATATAATATTATTTCAAGATTTCCACGCTGAAACCAAAAATGTTTTTAAAATCAAGAATATTCTTTTTTTCTGTGTAGAGCGCGGTAAAAGGGTAGATTTACGATAAGCAACGTCAATGCGTCCAGACGCATTCATGAGTTGCACAGGTCGAAAAAAGTTGTGCAGATTAAAACGAATAGGATGAGACAATTTCTGGATCGATACTTGCCGATGAATTCGAATGCGATGCCAAGCAGAGATTGTATTAAGATATTCTTCAAATATAGCTCGGCGTTTCAATCAGATAATTTCCGTTATATCACGTTTATCAGAAAACATGAATGGGATGACATTTGTCTATCGCTGAATGTCACATTGTCACGGCGGATAGCTCGTTAAAGACCGGGATCCACGCGGATTTGCTTAATTAAGAAGGCGCAAGGCACGGTAGAGGTAATTATCTAGTCCTTATGAAAGTTCGTACGTTGTTATTAAGACGGGCCAAAGAGAATCTTTCTATCAGAGTGTCTTCAGCGCGCGGGTTTAGTTTAGTTTAATAAATGCGGAGGGAGGGAACTGTGTGCGACGTGTAATTAAACGCGGCTTCTCATAATCGGGCTCATAGTCGGGGTAATTACTCGCCGTCGGATTTGGTCGAGTTACACATACTAAAACAAATCTCGTGCCTCGATTTCTAAAAACTCTTTTGTAGCGAGCAATATAATAATTTAATAATTGTTGCGTCTAGGGATCTAGAACAATAAACATAAATCTTGCGAGAGACCAAAGTCATCGGTACTTGAATACCAAATTTTGTATTAATTTTCACAGCCAATGATATTTCTTCTGTTCATTCCAATTTTCATATCTTCCTCGTTGAGTTAGAATCGAGCGCTCGCAGGAATCGTTGCAAGTTTCTCGGAAACGGACGACATTTCCACCAACACAACACGCTGACACGTTACAATTTAAATTGTTAGCCGAGAGAACCAGACATATAGTTTTGTACATGCCGCATATACATGCACGTACATGCATGTTACACGTCGGGTGTCCCAAGAGCTCTTTAAACGCGATATTATTCTCAGTATCTTTCGAGTCAAGCGAGTAAACGGTAAATGCAGCTTTTACGTTTCTGTATTTCGCCGATTAATATTTCATTTAAGGGAAAACGGGAAATTACGAAACAACCGGGTATACAATTAGGACATGTCCGTGATTGCGAAATGAATTCTGTCCCGGTCAGGCTAACTGCCGGACCGGTGTATTTCGAAATGTAGCGGAAACATGAAATCGAATTTAAACGACAGATATTGCGTCGCGCACCGCGACAATTTCGTCGCAAATGCAATTAATTAGGTATTTTTCGAGCCGCATTATACAGACATTATTTCACGAAAAAAAAAACGGGGGGGAAAAGAGAGGATACGGGAATATTGAATTCTTCTTTACATCGCGTTTATCGCATCATCGTTTTAACGTACGGGTGTTTTATGTATCGCATTTCTGTCTTTGAGCGGGATATGTACGTGAAACATAATTTCCAGCGATGCCGATGAAAGCGCGGATTAAATCTGTTAACAGCCGCTCGAAGCTTGTAAATCCGCGTTGGAAACCTCGGTCGAGGAGATTTTTCAATTTTCCCCGGTGCCTATTGATTTCGCGCGGGTAACACGATTATTGTTCGGTGAGAGAGCGGCAGGGGGAGGGGAGATGGGTCAAATTAATATCAGAAACTCTCCGCGATTTGCACGAATTATCATTTATTACCGCCAAATGAAGCTAAAGTGTCTCCACACGTGTATATCGCGATTTTCCGCGAAATGGACCACGCATGGAAAACGCGATTTCGCGGTATTTTCGCTTCGTTGTATCGGACACTGCTCAACACGAGTTACTCGGCTCTTTCAACAATTAAGACGACGCTGGGTGGAAAGACCGAAGGGTCGAAACGCGCGCGTACGATTTTTTTCTCGCGCTGTTAAGTTCTACCTTCAACTCCAAATGGATGAAAACCGTGAGAATATCTTTTTCTACTTGTCGCGTTGTACCTCGACAGTTGGTATTTAAACGAGCCCCACTCTCAAAGGCATGATTTTAATTCCGCGTTTTCAGCTGCGACGAAGATTTCCGTAGTCTCGTAAATTGGCGAGAAAAACGAGACAAAAAGTAATAGTCAGCGACGATTCTTTTTCTGTCTTTATAATACGTTAATTTTGCGTACGCTTACACAACAGCGCTCGTCTTTGATGTAAAATGAGTAGATAAAATAACGTAAAGCGTGTTGCAAGGTCTTGCGAGCGACGATTAATTCCAGAGATTAGTTTTAGATGAAATATACATTATAGCAAATTGTAGTAACAAATAATTGTAGTAAAAAAATTTTTACAATAATTTAACTTGCTCGTTAAGAAAATCTTATAATTACTGACACGTTCGGTCGGAGTTTCGGATAAAAATATATACATTGATAGCGAAATTGTAGTAACAAGTAATTGTAGTAAAGAAATTTTCAATAACTTAACTTTACTGACACGAGACAACGTATATCACATATTATCTTTCAGTAATAATACAAGAATATTTTTTTGACAATTTCTTTTCTTAAATCAATCTCTTGTCTTCTCTTCTCAAGTCAATTTATATCTTTTTGGACAAAAATTTAGCGTGTGAAATGAGCAAGATTTATTGATCTTTTTATACATATTTAAACAATTAGTTTTTACTAAAAACTAAAGAGGTACATAGGTGAATTTGATTTTTTTCTTCTTTTCATATCAGTATTATTTCAATTTTCAATACATATCTAACACGTTGTCACAAACTTTGTTTCCTAATGAACGTATGCGTTAAATTGAGTGCCGGACCGTGGTGAGATAATAGACGAAATTAAGTTATTGAATGTGAAGGGGCCACTTGAAAAGACAACTTCGAATATAGTAACTGTTTTATTTACTCCGCGAATTGTGCGTTGTTGAAGTTTATCTCTTATCGTTGATGTTGAGAAACTATATAATTTATATTATGATTAAAGTCGTAATAAATTATTGTTAAACTCGCGGCAAACGGTTAATAAGATAACGACATTTGTCTTAATGAGTCATCTAAGTTCCAATGTGAACCTATCACGCAATCGTTTATCGATAATAGAGAAGATTTAATTATTTTACAATAATTATTGCCATTTGTCATCTTTTAAAAAACTTATCTTGACGAATTTATAAATACATGATAGATAGATAAATATTTTATTTATGATTAACATATATTATATTATTAATTATACGATACATATTTTTTTACAAAACACGTCACGAGATAATCGAGAATATTTTCAATTATATTAATTGATATTTATATAACATTCAATTATATTAATTGGTAACAACCGATATTTCGACCTGTGCATATCACTTCGGTTTATATAATTTTTACAGAAGTCGATTAATTAACGATAATTGTTGAAAACGAATCGGCGTGGACTCGCACGGCGTTTGAATTGTGCGCACTGGCGCGCCATGTCGCGGGTCTGACGTAACGAGAAGGCGTGCGTTATTTGGAAAATAAGAACGCCGGCACACGGCAGATCGATATGGCGGCGAGCGCCGCGCGAATTCTCTATATTCCGACGCGGTATATTTCGCGCGGGAGACGTCGCGTTTATCGCGGTGCACCGACGGCCGCGGCATCCCGAATCCGGCGACGCGAGCAACGCCGAACGCCAGTCGTACGGAGGAAGACGCGGCGTACGCTTAACCCGCGTTTGAATCCGAGCGCCCTTCGCGCCATTCCCCGCGGCAGATGCACGAAGGTCAAAAGTATTTTAAAAATAAGGCCGTAGGCATTGGCAGATTGGTATGGCAGTGGACGTTAAGGGTCGGGTGGCGTTGTAATGGCAAAAAGTTTGCGAGAGGTGAGTAATCGAGACGTGGAGAAATTTCGGAGTGAGGTATCTCCGGCGGCGTAGCGATCCGCGTCGGCGTTAATCCGCGTAGGATCCGCGTGATTAGAGCGATGCGCGTAGTAGGTACGTGCGGCTAGAAAATCGGGCAACAAACAAATCGCGTTTTCGCGAGGAGGCTCGTGGAGGCTAGACGAGAGCACGGCCGACAATGGCGCCCAAGCCTCGCGAATATTGACGTTGCCAAAAACATCACCTCCGAATATATCTCGGGATTATTATCGTGTGTACGTGGGTGGCACGTACTGCGTCGCAATTAGCGATCTAACCTCGCGGGCGGCCCCGTGCCGCGGCCCAACGCGTAGAAATCCGCGCGCGGGTTAGTTCGGTCCACGGTTAAGGTTATGCGAAAAAATGTTTTCTGCACGTATAGTAGCGCGGCGTGAACCCTGAAGGGTTTTACAGTTATACTGCAATGTGGCACATTTGCAGAAGCGCGGAGGACGTTGTGTGGGCCTAGAGAGCCGCGATTTAATCTGCGGGGAGATATTGTCAGGACGATAGGAGAGTGCGCGTGGAGAAAGTGTGTGAGTTGGCGCTTTTTAAGGGTTAGGGAATCATTCTGGTATAGCCTGGTATAGCCTGAGCATAGTAGTTTTTATGTAGACAGTTCAGGGCAACTAGTTTGGTTGTAGGGTCGGGATTGGAGATAGACAAGATGGACCAGCAGTATTGTCTACGGTGGAACAATCATCCAGCCAACCTCACTGACGTTCTCAGCTCGCTGCTCGCCAGAGAGGCACTCTGCGACGTGACCCTGGCCTGTGTCGGGGAGACCTTCAAGGCGCACCAGACCATACTCTCCGCATGCAGCCCGTATTTCGAGAGCATTTTCCTGCAGAACATCCACCCCCATCCAATAATATTCCTCAAGGATGTCAATGACACGGAAATGAAGGCGTTGCTGCACTTTATGTATAAGGGCGAAGTCAATGTTAGTCAGCATCTGCTACCGATGTTCCTTAAAACAGCGGAGGCATTGCAGATCAGAGGCCTCACCGATAATAGTGTAAATAACAAAACGGAGGACAAGTGTCCGTCACCGGATCCAGAAACGCAAACTGGAGTCAGACATAGCGACTCGCCTAACCTCCAGTCCCATCATGAAAAGAGGAAAAGAAAGAATTCAGGCAGCTACGACGTTTCTCTTTCTGGCCCACCTAGCGAAAGATTTTTGTCCGACTCTCAGGTACGCAGATATCGTACTCGCTTTTTCTCTTCTGTAACTGTATCACCAGATAGGTGCGACGCATATCGTTTATATCACTTTTACTTGTAACATATGTACATTTATCACGACTCGTGCGGGTGTTACATTATATCTCGAGACTTGATCAAGAAAAATTATACAGAAACAAGCAACATGTGTATTTCTCTTCTCAAAGTTTATACAAACATAATTTTTTGCGAGTATTCTACAGATATCTTTAGTTTGGGTACATTTTTTGTTTTAACTGTTATGTTTGTAACAATATTAGGTATTACATCGCATTTTTACATATTAACCTTATAAATTAACACACATGCAGCATTTCTAGATATGCTTTTTTCAGAAATAAGTTCATATAATGCTGATTTCTTAAAATTCTGCTTCTGCTTAAAATTCTGTTCTATTGTGGTCTCATACATTATTATCGATGAATTACACATGTGTGTTTGTGATTGCACAGCTTTTCAAATAACTTGTAAGTAACCTTGAAGAATTTAGGCACAATGCTATTACCCGATGTATAATTCACGAGACAGATATTATCATAAGATGCTTTATATATTTTTTCACATACTTTGACGTAAGAATCATACATTTAAAAAGAGATGTAATCTGTTTACTCCAAAATATTAAGTTTACAGTAAACATTATTGTCCAACAGAGAACTTTAATTTATTATGCTAAATCTATCTATTGTTTCTAAGCAAGAGAAATAATCTGACGAATTTTATTTCTTTTCTCTTTAAGAAAAAAAATTCTTTGACTAAATCTTAATAATCATGTCAAGGCAGGGGATATAAAAACGTACAGAAAAAGATAAAGAAAGTTTTTGATTGATTGTTTTCAGACATCCTCGCAGTGTAGTTACAAATCAAGTCCTCCTGTGATTCCAAAGTTAAATAATGCCCTGGGAGTTGAGATGGAAGATGGTGGTCGGCCCATGTCTCCTGCTTCACAACCGCAGGCTCCTATTAAACAAGAGGTGGATCACCACTTGCCCGACTTCCATGACAATATTTCCCTCCCCGTAAGTAATTTTCGATGTTTATGCATTTCATATTTTAGTTTTGATTATTCATTTCTTTCTATTTCTATTCTGCACCCATGATCTTGCACATGTGTATTTACTTCGCTTTTTTCCCTGCGAATACACTTGTTTAATAACGCAAAGTACTAACTTTGTTTAAATCTTTTTGCATGGTCTATGTTATTACATGCAATAAAAAATATGTGTATATAATATTCCTTGCTGGTCAGATTGCTGATCTTGCTGATTGTAAGTCTCAATTTATTTGGCAATATTGTTGATGCAGTTGAAGGAAAAATAATTTCCTGATATTTATCATGATTGCATAAAAGATAAAAGTGATAAGACTGTATTTATGTCCTCGTTTCTTTGTCTAAAGTCACATAACCTATATTAATTATAAAAAGCTGAGAGAGCTTTTATTATCATCTTATTACATTTGTCTCTAAGCACCTAATTTTTAAGTAATTATGTAATCATGCATTGCCAGCACATGTATTATTTCTGTAAGATATTTTTTTGAAAATACTTTAATATTTGAAAAATATGTTCGGATTAAACTTTAAAATAATGCACGTATAAATTGCTTTAATATTTTGTAGTGTGTTTGCATAACAAGACATTTTAGTACATATTATTTCATGTAACTCCGATTCCGTGTTAACGTTAAGATATTTTTACTTTACACTCGCATTTTTTTCTGAAGACGCTATATGCTTCTTCTCGCTTAAAACGCTTTGCACAATTGTGAATGAAGTGCAAAGTTCTCGTGATATATCGCGAAGACAATTGTCCCTATAACGGAGTTTCGTTACTGTTCCCACAATTGATGACGATTATCTACCGCCGTCCTACAACTACTCAGTCGAAACAAACATGGGAAGGAAGGGATTCTCCAATTAGAGATTACAGAATTGGCTTTTTTTGCTAAAAAAAAGATTGGGTCGAAATGTGTTGATTAAGCACATATCCTTTCCTTCTCTGTTGACAGACTGGTATGGAGTGGGAGGTTCAGAGAGATGGGAAGAGTGACGAAACTACGGATGTACAGAACATGACTTCAAATCGTCCAGATTCGGCTGTGGTGCAAGTTTCTCGCGAAAGTGCCATCATGGCTGGAGGTTCTCTCTATGTCGATATGTCGGGAATTACGTCTGAACTCCCCGGGAATTCGCATAATCCGCTAAGTCACGCCGTATCCATGAACTCGCACCATCCGTACAAAAGCAATAGCAAACTTGGTCAAACTCAGTCTTACGAATCGTTGTCCCAATATAATCCGAACGTTAAAACGCTCGAAAATGACACGCATAGATCGCTACAAATAAATCAGGAATCAGGAATGTCCGTAATTCAGTCGACAATATGCGCAAACTTGCAGCGTTCTACTCCGCCAAGTAGAAAGGCTGGTAGATTTAAACCCGGGTGGTTAGACACGTATCCCTGGCTACAATACGATGAACGATCGAATCTTATGTTTTGCAAATACTGTAGAAAGTGGAGCGAATCCATACCAGAAATTCGCACTTCGTTTGCTGCGGGAAATGGCAATTTTAGACTCGAAATCGTCAACCACCATGATAAATGTAAAGCGCACAATATATGCGTGATAAAAGAAAGTGAGGCAAGAAAAAGTTACGCGTATACGACAAAAACGTGTTAGCCTCGACAGTTATTATCAGATTCTTCCTGTGCCTAGTTAATTCGTAATCAGTTTCACGCTCAATTAATATTTAAAAGGAATTCTGTACAAATATTACATATAATATTCAACACACACATTTGCGCAAGCTACTTTATGATTTTAACAAAGTCTTGTTTATTACTAAATCGCTCCAAAGTTTAAGTAAACTTATAATTATTTTTACACAAAATGAGACATACTCGAACTTGTAACAGAATGTGTTACAAGTGCATTATTGTTTGTTTGATTACTATACTTCTTAATAGATATTCCCAGATATCTTCCAAAGATTCTTCTTTCCGATTCTAATATTAAAGCCTAGGGCTTTTTTATTTTTGGACTATATCTTATCCTTAGTGCTTTTATTGCATAAACAATGTTATAAATTTACACTTGTTGAGTATAATTTTATAGAAGCAAGTTTTTTATCAGATAATTTTACCAACGTTAATGTTATTGTTGTATGTAAAATTAAGACAGTTTATGTATGTACGCTATTTTATTGTTAAAAACATATAAAAATATACATAAATATATATATACATAACAACAAAATATTTTTGAAAAAATATTTTAAATATTCTATCATAATATGTATCAACATATTCCTTGCGATCTGTAATATAAAACAATTATTACATAGCAGATTTAAATAGCATATATAGATATCGATACAATTTTTACAGTTTCGAAAATCATGCAATAACTTTAATAAACGGGTGACTAAAGTATCTGTATAATTTATCTTATTAAATATGTTTGCTTTTACAATTATTTACGATAAGGTGACATGTTTCTAAGATGACTGTAATTTATAAAAAGATATAATTTGCATTTTTAAACATATACTTTATAGTTGGATATGTTATTAGATACTTGCTGTAATATATTACAGCGCAATACATAATTTTCGATATGTAAGAAAAGGAGATACCAAAGTACATATTTTTGAGATCATGTTCTGCGACGGATTCTTATATCTTTGAAAAGCAATAAATCGAATTACTTTAAAAAGTATATTTTCTTTGGAATTATATTGATTAGAACATTTAACCTTCTACAATTAAGTATTAATATATTTTATCTAAGTAGGAACGTATAAAAATTGTTTTACAAGACGTGCGTTATATTTTCTTAACTATTGCTATTTAAAATTATGTAAAATATTCAAATATTAAATAAGTATTGTGTATAAATTTGAGGAACATTACAAACACTCTTTAAACTATATATAATTTTATATATATACGTTATTTAAATTTTATCATTGAGTTAAACATGGAAAATTGTAATAGTATTTAAAAATCTTAGTGTATAAATTTTTGATGGTTTTACAAAATCATTCTGAATTTGATCATTTAAAAAATATAATTTAAGAATTTGCGAATTCAATGAGTTTGAAGAACAATTTGTAGTTGCAAGAATACAAAAATTTCGTCTTTTGACAGTACTGTTCTAATTAGAATATGTTACAAAGCGTGAAGCAGCTACTATACTATTTCTGACTTATTTACAAATATGTGATTATGTCATGCGCAGGGTCATCCAGTTGGACTGATAGGAGAAGATGGAGGGGCCACGGTAGGAGCACTCAGTGATGGTGTTCAAGGGATGGAATCATCCGAGCACCATAATCCCCCGGAAATGCTCGACGGACTTGATGGTAAGACTTGCACATATATCTAACTTTACGACCAAAATTTCATTTAGATTTAACATATTTCCTTTTTTACGTTTTGTACTAAACCGCCCTGATTTGCGATTAACTTGTACATTATGTTTGAAGATTATACTCGGTATTATATCAGACACAACATTCGGACGAGTTTAGATATTGAGCTTGTAAATAGCGATAAAAGATTTGGCGACGCGTTTTTTCGTTGTAAAATATCGCGCATAATTCGGGTCAAACTCATCTTTTCGCGCGTTTCGGGCGTTTGACGTCACGCGATCGAAAAAAAAAACGATCTCTCGTCAGTCAATGGGAAATATGTTACATCTAAGAAATCGAGGGAGATCTGCATGCACGTTTTTGCAAGGATTTGACACGAGTCGAGTCGTACGTAGGTGTCGTCCGAAGCGAGCATCCCTCTATTTCCAAATCTGGCAAGTGTAGTGAGTGTAACTTTAGAAAATGAAAGACCTTTTTATATATATATATGTACATGTATATGTGTACGTACGTATATATATGCATACACACCGAGACCAATCTCTATACATGTGTGTGTATGTCTGTATATATATCTAACTACATATGTATATTACATAAACCCTTGGTGTTGTGGTGATGGTATCGTGCATTTGCTACGTCATTGTGGTAGTTTTAATTACGTGTGTTAATACATATACAGAAAGAAATAAAACATAACAAAACTCTCGTTGGTTTGGGACATGGTATCAGCAAATGGACTGTACTTCTATCTCATTTTTTTTCTGTTTTTTTTTTTTATCCGTGTCCGAGATTGCGGTGTGTGGGTGCGACTGGCTGAGTTCATCTCGCTGTTTTTACACGTGTATGTGGCGCGTGTGCGTGCGTATGCGTGATGCCACATTAACGAACTCCATTTGCGTGAATGCGTGTAAATGTGTGTCGTGTGTGCGAGATGACATGTATATACTTATGTCATATATATATATATATATATATATATATATATATATATATATATACACATCATATATGCGTACACTGCGTGCACGTGCGAGCGCAGACGTACGCATATACGCAACTTCCATGGCGGGACTCTCTGTGCATGTCTTTATGTGCTGTTTTTATTTTCTATTCTCTTATATACCCTTTTGCCGTATCTTGCGTCACCGTGCCTGGCGATCTTGATCTTATATTCTCACGTCTCTCTTGCGCTGTTCGTTTCGACCTACACGAGTGAACGAGAATATTAGCAACAAAATGTGCAATCGTTGCGCATCTCGTTGCGCAATCCGTCGTTTGCGTTAATAAAGTTGTCGGCCGCGAGGAAAAAAAAAATCGTTACGTAAGACGTTTCCTATGCTATGTTGCTTGATACCACGAGATGGATACGAAGGTTAACGCGATTACACAAGAGCGCGGGGGATCCGAGGATCTGATAATCCCGAAAATCTATTCTAAAATTAGAGATTAGGATATTTCAGTTAGATTTCAAGATTCTGGAATTCGCGGATTCTCTATACCGTGATTGATTTTCGTGGAATTAGGGATTGCAGGATCCGAGGATCCGAGTTTCGCATACGTTATCTATAAAAAGTCTATAGATGAATTTATGAGGTAAAGTTTCACTTTTCGCGAAATATTTTCTATCGCTCGTCCACATTAATACGTCACGCCTATTTATAGTCACACGATTCTTATCCACTGCGTATCGTCGATGCATTAATAATAGTTGCCAGCAGCGGCAGCAGCAGCAGCAGCAGCAGGAAAACTCGTAACTCTAGGTAGCATTTTTTCCTCCTAACAATTATTCCCGAAGAAGCATACGCGATTAAACCGATCGTTAAATAGACTCTCTGTTGCTAATGCTATTCTTCGTTTATCTTTCGCATCCTCGACCTCGTAGCGATCTCGTCGTCGTCATCGTCGTCATCGTCGTCGTTGTCGTCGTTGCCGTCGTCGTCGCTTGTCGTTGATAGTTACCAGATTACGTACTTCTTGATTGCATATTCATATTATATCGAGTTAGCTGAAATGTTGCACGAGCTGCATTATGCAATAGTTGCCAGTGGTCGCGAGATGCGCGCGTTTGATCTCCGACGGAGCAATTTATGTATGGGCGACGTTTAAGAGCTGAGGACAAAGTCGATAGTCCGTATCGCGATCTCCGCAGACCGAGTGTTTTTATTTGTGGAGACGAATCGGCGAATCTCCTCGCCGAGGTTCTCACACTTGAATGTTTATTTTCGGTTTTCTTTTTGGTATGTTAAATTTTCGACGTCTCTTTCCTCCTTTCTTCCTCTCCTGTACTGTATTGTGACAGTATCTTTAGTCTCTTGGAACGCGATGAGATGACAGTAGAATTGCGCTTTTTACATGGTATTGACATTTGCTACGAGTAGGTAATTATAGATGAGAAGAAAGAGCACGGGGCGAAGTCCTTGATGGAATTGATCGATTCTCTGTCTTGTTTCGATAAACGCGAAAGAGTTTTGATTTTTTTTTTTTTTTTTTTTTTTTTTATCATGTTCTCTCAGACCCTTCTACAGACCTTCTGTTTTTTTTCTTTTTATGTCTACATTATTTCTTTCCTGCAACAAGCAAAGTTTTCATATATATTTCCAGCGCTTATAAAAACAAGAAAGAAAATCAAGCAATTCCATTAAGTACATTACTCTGTATAAATACGAGTGTGGTGTTCGTTATGATATCTTCGTTGATTTTGAACGTAATTAAGAGAATCCCCTCTTCTCTGCAACTATTTGACGTAGAGTGTGATTTATGGGAAGCATAAAGGATGTTCTATTTAACGTTATCATCAAAAGTATTTTTTTTCGCAATGATAATTTCTTATATTAAAACAATAGCATAATTAAAAAATATTTCTATTTGAAAAACAATTTTTTAAATATACCGCAAACTATAGTAAAAGAGGTTTTTGAATAATCAATAAAATAAATTTTAACTTCATGGATTAGAGAATATTACATTTTTGCATAAATTTTTAATATTTTTTGTAACGATTAATTAGAATTTTATTACTCAAACATCTGTGTCGCAAAATAATATTTATTCCAAAAATTTTCTTTACAGAAAAATTGCATATTTAAATATTATTTGTATAATTTTTGCATTTTACAATGAAAAGGTAAAATCTGTGATAAAATATTTGCATTTCGAATATTTTGCAAGAGAAAGCTATTACATTTATGTTATAATGGTCATTAAATAGGATTTAACATTTATTTTTGAGATCTTTTATTTCATAACTTTTCATTCGTATATTTATACGTACATTTGGTAAAAATATACGTGCATACTTTTTTTTTTTAAATTAATTAAAGAGTTCAGACATGAAACATTACATTAGGCATTGCGCAAAGAAATAAAAGACATTGAGTGTGATAACGTCGGATCGACCATCCTTATATATTTTGGGGTGATATTAGTAGACACAGTTGGCATCGTTAATGAATTATGATGAATTCATCGAAACGGGACCTTGTATTCCAGGAACGACAAGGACTTGCAAAAAAGAAAAGGATATAAGTAAAGACAGTCACAATAAGTTAGAGCACTCGCTGATCGGTATGGAGTGCTGTAAGCTGTGCGGCAAGAGCGTAGCCAACATAAAAAAGCACATGAAATCGCACAACCCCGACAAGCACCAATGTCAAATATGTCTGATATCGTTGACCAGGTCTGACAATCTGAAAAGGCACATTAAGTTGAAACACGGCATGCAGGATGTGATATCGCCGTTTATGCGCATGGACCACAAGCATTTCTTAGCAAAATCCGAGGCGGGTTATTTGACTTAGTAATTCTTGCGTCGCATAAACACACAGTGCGTCCATGTGCAAAGTATACTAACCGCGGGATTGTGCGAGGATCTTCGAATCGGGTAAGCCTGTCAGGAACTCGATTACTGACCTTATCGGAATATACTATGTATAATTTAAGGTAGTAGAGTATAGATACAACGGTCCGCTTCGCGCCAAAGCGACAGCAAGTTACAGGACCGTGTCTCTCGATAGATTCCACTCATCTTTGGATCTTTCCGATACCTCGGATACCTGGAGATCTTCCGATTCATAAATCCTCGTATATTCTACATACATAATTTATTTTTGCGTAATTTATTTTTCTATCATATAAATCGTAAGTGTAGATTTGCATGCATGCGTTTGCAGGGAGTTGGCCTGGAACTCGTGTAACTTGTGCCCATGTCATTTTACACGTTACTTAGTATTAATCGCCACGGTCGATATGTCGCACGAAGGACCCTCCTCGTCGCATAGCTATACGTGACGATTACATCGTGTGCGCGTGCGTCTCTTTAGAGAGCACTATATTTAAACTAAAATTAAATTTATTTATTCTTGTGCGTTTAGCTCCTAAGTATTTAATGCTAATGAGTAAGGACACGGGGATCTCTTTCTCTCGCTTGAGACAAGCAGATTCCCTTAGTTATAGCGGAGTGTTCGTAGAATCCGTGTAAGCTGGAGATCTCAGTGAAAGTAATGTCGAGTACAAAACTTCATTCCTGTTCTACCTCCCGTTGATCGTCCGAATGACGTATCGTTCTGAAATACGGAAGACGGAGTAACGTTCCTCCAAGATTACGGACTATCGCCGGATCTTGTAATCATCCTCCCTTTCGTCACTTTCGTGTCACGCCCGGATCCGCGGACTTCCGCTCCGACTCCGAGGATCTCGCGGCTTCCCTTGATCCCTGCGTCCTCCGGACGCTAGGGTTTTCAGATTCCTAGATTTTTGGACTCCAGCATCTTCGACTATCGTCTGTAGGCGCGCAGGAAAAATATATGATCTAAACGATGTTAAGTATCTCTTATACGCACGCGTCACGAATGGTTTTGCACCGTTCCGATTATCCTGAGATCTTCATTAGATCCTATATATATATATATATATACATATATACATATATATATATTTAGGATTATATATGTGTATATATGTATATATATATACACATATGTATATATATATACATATATAACGTAAATATACATATAACGCGAAAACATATTTAGCGTTATATAAAATATAAAAACTTTATATTGGAACAGTGTGCAAAAATAAATTACGGAACAATTTTTTTTATCTCGAACAGCGCGATTGATCGGCGTAATGGAAAGATGATGCAAAACATTCTTCGACGCGTGTACGTAAAATATATATATATTTATACGTATATTATATTTATATGACGTAGGTTGTGAATCACGTCGAAGACTGATTTCTATGTGAGTCGTCGCGGCTCAAAAATAGTCATGATGAAACTAGTCCCGCAGGCCCATAGGCTGTTACGAGAAAAAAAAAGAACAGGCTTCGGAGCTCACTTATGGTGCCTTTTGCTTAAGTACAAGGATATCGCTTGTCACGAGATAAATAACGATAATACGATAAATAGTAATTATAATAAGCGATGCGATATACCTCCCTTAGGCAGTGCATGGTCACACGTTCATAGCCCTTTGTACGTCGTTACGTAACACACGTGTCCTTTTTCCACCGTTTGCGTCGTTCTCGCCCGTCGTGGCTCCGGGTAGGAATGGCGTCGAGCCAGGTTTTTTTTATCTATGTTCTTTCTCTATTTGCAGATGCGACACTTTTAGCTCTTCGAGCCATTGAATTCGCGCCAATAGCGGGCGGTAAATCGAGCAAGTATGTCCAAGTTTTTTCGGAAAGGTGCCGTACGCTCATAAACGCAGAATACCCTCGCGAATACTGTTTCAGTTTTTGTTACTCGTTCATTTTTCGTCTCGCCAAAACTCGGCGCTTGTTCTGTAGCTGTTCCCTCGAAAGTCTTAAGTCTACTCAAAACCTGCGGAAAGAACATTACGTAGGATTAGTCGAAGTTTCCACGCAGCTTTACGGGATTAGGTGTAACAAGGTCGTCCTCGTACTCGCGACATCTCGCAGTTATTGAAATTCTTTGTTCTCTTTGTCGGCATCCTAAGGGAATTCCTCACGCTCTCGCGATTTTTCGAAACATTCTTGCGCGGCGGACGCGACGAACTTTTGCTATCTGTTCGTTCGCACAAAGCGACAACGCAGTTTCATGCGGGAACGCGCGTTTTGTTCCTCTTTCTACGCTCACGCGCGTTACGCAACAAATAAACGTCATCTCGTTTTGCCTCTCGCCAAGTGGACGCGTTCTGGCAGCGTCATGGTTTCCAAAACTGTTAAAAAATGAAAACGCGCGCAAAACTCTCCCGGGAGCGTGGAATTCACTTACCCGGGCCACTTACTTTGATTATGAACAGTAATCACAAGATACAGTTTGCCGAGAGGTTTATTTATTAGCTCATTTTTATGTCTTATCCGTTACGAAAGCGTCATTTATTTTTCAGTCGCTGTCTTAGAATTTGCCTGTAGTAGCTTGGAGTTTTTCGAGTCTGATTTCTTAGCTTACTGCTGTGAGACACTTGGTACTTTATACGATACTACGTTCTAATATTGAAGTTCTAACTTGCTTGAAAACTTGACCTGCTCGAGATTTTAAGATCTTTCAATGCTTAAATTCTAATCTTAGCAGCTTCGTTTTCTCAGATCTTAAATTCTTATTTATCTCGTAAAGTACGAGCGGTAGATACTTTTCGTGAGTTAAAGCCACACTAGTAGGCCCGCATCGATTGCACCGAGTGGTAGTAAAAATTGCAAGAGTTTGGAATCACAGAGCTCTGTCAATGACATATCGACTATTTTTCCGGCTGGGAGCCGGGCTAAAAAACAAGCCATGATCGCAACACGACATCACGATGTCGTTTTTGAGAATCAAATGGATTGGAAACCATCGTAGCGTCTTCTTGCCAAAAATACACAGGCGATATGTCTTACATGCCCGAATGTTCGACAGTACTTCTTTAAAACAACTTTTGCATTTTGCATTTTTTATTTATTCTCCCATTTTCATTTCTCTCCTTACGAGAGTATCATCTTCTTTTCATTCACCGTCTTAGTTTCTGCTAGATCATATGTCGAATTTGTCTCTTCAGGGAAACGATATATATAAATATTAAAAGCTTGCGTTCTGTATGCATTTCCTGTGGCAGTGACGTGGTCTTTTCGTCGCAAGACTCTCGGTATGTTTGCACGCGGGGAATTTGTGGTACTCTCCCATGCGCGATCTCCGAATGGCACGGATTCTTGAATCCGCGAACCCTGTCTCCGTTTCTCCGTGACAAGGGAAACACGTAGCCCGAGCGACAATTCGGATCCGGATAATATTAATGTCCGCGAGTTGGCCGTGACGTGCAGCCGTAACGCTGCGGAGCCTGCTGCACTATATTCCGCGCAAGACGTGAGAAACGTTGTCACGTTTCAGCGAGCCACCTCGGTATCATAACTTTCCGACCTTTAACGGCGGAAAATTGTCTCTCTGGGCGACGTGGTAAAGCGATGGATGGATGGATGGATGGCGTCGCTGCATTAGCGAACCGAGCCCGGGCGGCAGGGCCCAAATGGAAATTAGTATCACGCGATACTTTCCCTGCCGCAGCCCGGTCAAAGGGCTCTCTCTCTCTCTCTCTCTGTCTCCCTTTATCTCTCTTTCTCACAACACGGTTGAGCGATAAAAAGCTCAACAGCATTTTGCATCCCCCCGGCAATAGCTCGGTCCATCGATCCATCGTTGCATCTAATTATACAGCGCGCCCTTCATTACCCTAATTACCCTCGCAGTGTGCCTTCCGTCCTCGATTTTATCGATCCGTTCCGATGCTCTTTCTGGTTTTTTATATCGGATATTTTTATTAATTTATAGATTTTTATAGGTCTACGATGATATTATATGTGCGCTTTACAAGTTCTCTAGATATTCATATAAGAAAAATATTGATATTTATTACGTAATTTGATCATTGACTCGAAACTTTTATCTGAACAGTCGTTGCATTTACTATTTTAATGTTTAACGGTGCGTCACGTTCCAACATTAATGATCTTTACCATAAGCATGGTACGCTGTTTTATTTTCGCGAAGCCTTAAATAGTCTTATAATCAGCTACTTATAATCTCAATTAAAATGTCACAGGCTATTCTCTGATATTTTCGTAGATCAACAATCTTTATGTCGTAAATCTTTACATCGGCTGTCCTACTTAGGTCGCGCAACTTGTGAAGTTCTCCCACTCGGTTTTGTTTCCGACCTGCTTATTTCTTTTTCCGCGTTAAGCTCCACTTCTTTTCGCTCTTTTTCTCCCTCGCTCTCTCTTTCACGCCTTGATCCCATTGTCGTTTCTAAAATCACTATCTCGGGGAGACTCCTCCACCGATACTTGTTCCGTTCACCGATACTCATTCTCGACATCGATCGATCATCGAATAAAGCGGCTTCACCGACGTATCACAGTTTTCTTTCTGCTCTCGAGACGCATCGGTTGTTTAATATTCTCGTGCACAGGCGAGAGAGCGAGCACGGGACTCGTCCAAGGAGCGCGCGACGGGGTCCTTTCCCGACGATAAGCTTCTTACCGGCATATCTTCTCGCCCTTATTACACGAGTGCGCGCACGTCGCACGGCGGTCGGACGGATGGTGACGGTGGTTCGAGGATGAAGGCGCAGGATGGTGTTCTGAATAAGAGGATCAGCGGGTGGAGGTACGCCCCGAGCGAGGTGCCCCGCTCGCAAAGAGTTTCGTTTCTCGAGCACACGACAAGAGGCTTTTCGTCTTTCGCGCTCGTGCCCGCTTACTTTAAACCCCGGTGGTTGGCTTAACCAATGGAGGAGAAACCAGAACCGCCGCTGGCTTCCGCCGATCGTCCTTGAGAGCTCGCTCGAAGGAGCGGAAACTTCAGCTGGCGCGAATCTCGTGAAACTCTGCTGATCGCGCCGGGCCATTAATCATTTAACCGTGGTGTTTTTAGTGTGAGAAAAACGTTCTTCTATAGATATCTCTATAAAACGGCTAAAGTTTAAAGTATTATTTTATTTATATATTTGTGTATCTAATTTTTATTTTTTTTCAAGTTCTAAATCGTAATTATTCAATATAAATCTCCGAAAGTCTATCTGCAAATTATTCTCAGTCATCATAAGAAAACATTTTTTATGCCATTTTTACTCGTTGCGCTATGAAAATCTTTGATACTCTTTCTTAGAACCATTCTCGTTGATGTCGTCAAATAATTCAAGTGAGATTGCAAGTCAGTGATCTTTGTTTTCGACCGTTATTAGTATTGAATGCTCAATTGAATACAGAATTCGCTGTTCTCTTTGCGTACATCGTGATGTTCTCGTTATCGCCGTTTCCGAACAGTTCAATCAAGCCTCGCCTCCCTTATGTCTTAAGTGGTTACATGTTCGGGGAACGCTGTGGCATTATCTTCGAACAGACGGTACTCCACAGGTCTGTAGCAAAGCTACTGTATAGCTACTGACAGGAATACTCGAAATGAAGTTCCAACGTTTCGGTCGACTGCAGTAGCACTCCGGAAATCAATGGCATCGGGAAAGTTTACAGCGTCAGAATTTCGTTGCTCCTCGAAACTCACGCGACGGAATTTGCAACAAACGATTTCATCGGGACAATTAAATCGCTAGTAATTACGTACAGAACGAATTTTATAATGAATAATAGAATAATAGACGGCTCCGATTATAGATTTTGCAAAAATATCTCACAGGTACTTTAGATATTCTGTCGAACCTTTGAATTCCAAGCTCGACGAGAGAGGTTTTGCTTAATGTTTTCTATACGTTAATCCGATAAATATAGACGATTCGCAAAATTAGCAGAAAGCTATCAGCGTTATTATTCCACGTTTGATCATGAAGAATCTTCAGTTTCTCGTTTCGAATTTGAGCACCGCTACCCGGGAGATTTTGAGAGGAAGGTTCCTCGTTTGAAGGAAGTATGTGCGGTTG